ATCCAGTGCCTTTTCCAGATATTCCTATTACATGTTCTTCTTTCTTTTCCTTATGGATCCATCAAGTTATTGCAATTGTTTGTTGGTCTGTGTGTCCCCAAAGATACTAAGTCCCTTGAAAATAGAGACCAAATTTTGTTCACTGTTGAATCACCACCTCCTAATACAGTATCTATACGGCAACTGGTTCGAAATAAATATTTGTCGCATACCATATATAGTTTTTAAACACCTTGACTCTACATCAGAATAAAGCACAACATACTTGCAACCTAAGATCATCTTGAAGTGTCTACATAAAATACTCTCTGAATTTTAGGAATGAAATTCTAGATCTGAGAGAGAGAGAGAGAAAAAGAGATATTAGATAATGCTAGGCATTCATCTGGAAAGTTGGCAAAACTCTAAATTGGTTAAAAGAATAGGAATTGAAATGCTGACCTTCAATTCCAATCTTCATGACTCTTTTCTTTGGTTGAAAATTACTTATTAAAAGGGATCTGAACCCTCTAACTGGAGTTTTGTGGTTTTGGCGAGGAGGAAGTTGTATTCAGAGACACTCCTCAAAAGGCTTGTAGGTCTTTTACATAGGTGTTTGCTATCAGAACAATCATTTTCACCATGAATTGTTTGTTTTCATGTAAGAAATGCTAGATGTATCCTGTCAGTGACTCTAGTGAGTTAAACTTATAAATAAGTCTTATATATTTAGCTAGTTTTCAGGTGTCAATCTGTTAGTTTACCTGTGACCAAGAAGGTCTAACTATTCTCCTCAGTTTAACTAAACTTTAGACAGGTAGCTTCTTCACTCTATGCCCCTGACCTCTCTGACTAGCAAGTTGTATGGTGTAAATGTACAAGTAATAGTCCAAACCAAGAGAGGATTGGTAAACTCAGATTAAGGAAAATTAAGTGTTCTAGATTATAATATTTACCATTTTCACTCTGGAATTATTTTTGTTTAAAGAGCTATAGTTATTGTTGGGGCACTGGGGTGGCTCATTTGGTTGAGTATTTGAATCAGTTTTGGCTCAGGTCATGATCTCAGGGTCACATCAGACTCTGTGCTCAGCAGAGAGTCTGCTTGAGGATTTCTCTCTCACTGTCTCCCTCTGCCCCTCTCCCCACTCACATTCTCTCTTTCAACTAGATAAATCTTTAAAAAAAAAGAACCATAGCTATTTTCTAATATTAGAAAATTCTTCCTATTAATCACTGCTGGTTGAACATTAATTTTTGAAAAAGTCTTCTCAATCCAGTGGGCTTGGTTTCTTACCCTATGACAGTGTTGAACTTTACCTGAGCCCTATACTCTTGGAAAACAGCAATAGTCAGGAATTCCCCACACCCTTTTGTGTTCTAGGAAACAACTTATTGCAAAAGAACCACCCTTGTGACATTGAATAAGACTCTCAGGTGAATCCAAATCCCTTGTATACTTATGACAAAGTCAGACACAGACCCTTGAAATTCCTATCCTTTGTCTCAGAAATTGGTAGGCGAATGGTTTGTCCCCACTGACCAATCTGAACAAAATACTTGCTAACTTAACTTTGCCAAACTTCAGTTAGGTGTCTCTCCCAGTCGGCTGGTCACAAAGAAAGACACGTCCAATTGAACTACCCAATCAGGCCGTCTGCTCACCTCACTCTACCACATCGGATTCTTTCTAGTCTTGTTGGCTTTTCCCTCTGAAAGAAAAGCCCTTTCTGCCTGGCATCTGGGATTCTTACAGGTTTTACAGTTGGGAGTGTTTTCCCTATTGCAATAGTTTTTTCAAAGGAAGTCTCTCCTTATCTAAGTCTGGATTTGTTTTTTGACACCTGAATATAATTGTCGTTTTCATTGGCTGATAACATTTCTTCTATCTGTATATTCTATGATTCTTGGTTCTGCTATTACTACCCCAGTTATGAATTTAACTACAGAAGTGTGTCAGGGGAAGATGATTTTGTCATTGTAGAAACCTTTGTGCAGATTGACGTGCTGGAGACATATTTGTTTTCATATTCTTCAATGAAGCAATATAAACGTGTGGCATTTTATTTTGACATAGAGAACTCGAAATAACTAGTAAACATTTTCTAAGAAGTTGTGAATGATTTCAAATCTGCAATCTAAATTTTCTGAAGCAGTGACTTAGTGACTGCAACTTCTTAAAATTGTGATCGTATGTTTTTAGAGAGTGTCTGAAGCCAATCTGAAAATTCGGGTTGGCCTTTCTGTCTCCTGCTGCATATATGCAAGTAATCACACAACTAGTGAGAAAGCAGCTACATTTGAAGAGGATTTGAAAGGTAAAGTGGTGCAAATAGAATTGCATAATGGACTATAGAACCAAATCTATTTAAGATCACTTGCTATTTTGATCAGCTATCCTTTTCTGCTACAATTAGCTACTGGCCTCACTACCTCTAAGTCAGCTGATGATACATATTTTCAGTTTTATGCCTCTACTACTAGCCTGAAAAGTATCTCCATGGGATTTGTGTTTATTGGAACTGGGGACTTAATCTGGAAGGGACAGTAGAAACTTCATGGAATGTTAATTAATTATTGCCTCATGTGGTAATCTTAAGGGCAAAAAGACAATATAGGGTAATAATAGCTTATAATATTTAAATAATATTATTACTTTCACATTTGAATTTTCCATCTTTAGTAGATTGTGAGCTACCTAAAACAGAGGCCCTATATTCTCCTGATAAACAAGTAAATACATAATAGTTATTCAAGAAACACTTTTGAATGTGTGACTTGATATGAATGCATGGCTGTAAGCAATACTAAAATAAATTCCACAAATAATTCAACAAACATTTATTGTGTGAACATTATTGTGCTAGGTCCCTTAAGAGGTACAAAAATGGATCAGACATGAATCCTGCCCTCCAGGCACTTACAGTCCACCAGAGGATATCAGAAATGTGTATAAATAACAAGGTAGAAGTTTTTTAAAAAGTCCTAAGAGAGGTACAGAAGCATTGCCATAAGAGTTCCCGGGAGAAATTATTTCTTGCTTGGAAAATCATGAAAAACTTTGTGAAGATGAAGTATGAGGTGGACCTTGAAGCATAAATAAAATTTAGATCTGGGGGAAGGGGAAGGCTTACCAGTCCAAGGGCACAAAGTTCTCAGCAGGTTGTGAATGCAATGGGCTCAGAGAGAACTGCCCAGGACTGTCGAAGGGGCAGCTGCAAGTCAGCTTTGGCAGGGTACATGTATATGCTCGTGCAGTGGAAACTTGCAAGAAGTGGACTAAAAAGAGAGCTTCCTTAAACTTATGATTCCTTGGTACTTACTGACCTGCCTGTGTTGTTTTCCTTATAGATTAAACAAAACAAAACAAAAAGCACCCCTACAACTTGACATCCCTCTTAGAGTAACAAAAAAAGTTACCCTAACATTTTCAAGTATGCAGTATCTGGTTAGCTTTCATATATTGATCTGATATTGAATTACTAGAACTAGAGAAAAATAGAAGTGAGAAAAATAGATTTCATTTTATGGCAGTGACTATTATAGTTGTACAAGAAATATTAGTCTAATATATTGAGTTTGTTTTCTAAACATAGAATTTACGTTTTCAAATATATGCTTATTGAGGTTTTTTTTTTTTTCCACTCAAGATTTTCCAGTTTGAAATGAGAAACTGCCTATATGGTTTTCATTCACTCTATAGGTTACGGAGATGGAGCTAAGCATGTGTATATATATGGATATGTAATATATACACACACACATATGTAGGTATATATACACACATATACATATATGCATATGTATGTATTTATAGATATGTGGATATAGAAAGAAATGAGAGAGAAATTTGCTAAATATTCCTATCACCAGAAAGTCATCTTATAAATTTAATAAACATTTAATATTACAATTACAGTATAATTAGCATGAAGTTTATTCTATAGAAAAATCACTCCTTAGTTATGTTATATTCTGCTGTTGCTTTTATTTTTAAAATCTGCTTAAAAATATATTTTTAACATCTTTACACTGAGAACATTCTAAGTATCTGACAGGAGTTCAGCCTGAGCTGGGCAGTTTTTAAGGCTCTAGCTTAGTGGTGCACTTGAGTGTTGAAGCACCTTTGTCTCTGGCTGGACTCATGGCCTGCAGGGCTGCGTCCCCAGGTCATGGGTAGCCGGAGCCAGCTCACTTTATTTTCTGACAGACCACACAAGACCATGCAGTTTAGGTTTAACAATAAACTAATCTAAAGAAACGTTCTAGGAATTTTGAAGACCTTAATCTCCTTTCTACTCCCTATACTTCCCTTAGACTGAAAGAAAGAATCTCATCATCCATTAAAAGGATGACAAAATTGCTGACATGCTTTGCACTATGTTTCTTTTAATGAAGCTTTGAGAAAGCAGAAGACATCACCGGTGTGGCTTTCCACTACAGAGGACACCAGGGACCAGCTTACCTCAGATTTCCCACTTTCAGACCAGACATAAAGCATCTACTAAATACAATCATTCCCCTTTTCCTTCTGCTAGAGAATATACAGATAAGATTTTTTAAAAAATCCTGAATAAGTTCGTTTTTTTGTATGCTATGAAGAACTATAGTACAAGTAGTTTCTTTTGTGAAACATGCAATGGACTTCATTACTTATAATAAACATTTTCCCTGTATTATTTTTTGTATGGCAACTTATTGTTTTCTACTAGTAGTTGTATTTTTGCCACGAGATAGAAAAAAACATAATATTTATGTAAGACTATGATGGCAGATTTCTGACAAGCCCCATTTACATGGTACATTGTTCCAAAGGATGTTTGAGTAGAAAATACAGAAGCATTATACAAACCTACTATTACATTTGAGAAATCATTAGCCTCAAAGGAGTAATAACGGTATGCTATTAAAACTGTGAATACATTTTCAGTATCTGTATTGAAAAAAAATTATAAATATGTAAATTTCTGTTCAACAAATCCAAAATAAAATGCACTAAAAAACTGATATGTAGACAAAAGTTTATTTACACCATACAACATTTTAAATATTTTATACACAGTTGCAGCAGAGAAAGCTACTCAGAGCTTTCTAGAGAAAACTGCAATAATAAAGATGTGAAATATATTATTCATATAAAAGTGAGATTATTACTTTATTGCATTTAAAGCAATGAAGAATGTAGCTCAACAAACATTCATTTAATGACAAAAACTTTGCTTTTATATTATAAAGTAAAAAGTGTAGTAATGGCCAAACAGACTGTTATAAACTTTAAAAACTGCATAAATATATACATTGTGCTTCATGGTGAAGTTTTTTGAAAACTAAACCATATGAAGCGGTTACAGCATGAATCGTTGCTTGAGGTTTATCTATAAAGATTACCTTACAAATCCATTCCACGGGTACTTACAACACAGGATGGTCAGAACTGTACACCTGGTCCTCTCTCCACTAGCCTTACTAGTGAGAAGTTACCATATGCAAACATCACTGACATTTGGCACATGAAGGTCCTGACATAGGATAGTCACACTGTCCAGATAGAAATGTCAGGCTTCCCAAGTCTTAAGTGTCAGTGCAATAAATTGTTTCATATCCACCTCAGTCCATTTTGATTTTGTTAAACTTCTGTTTGAAAGTCACCCTCTTGCACATCCAGAGGCAAATTCAGACACTTCTCCCACTCTGCTGGCCTCAGTTCCAAAGCATCCTTTGCCTCTGTATCTAAGACATTGATTGTGGTATAATGTTGGTATTCACTGGGGTTTTTGAAAGTGTCCCATGGATTCTTGTTTGGTGCTGGGTTTTCCTGTTGAGGAAAGAGGGGAAAGAGTCATTATTTGATGATGAGTATTACTGCTTGTTTAAGTTCCCAGGAAGAGAGCATGTTTGTGACCCTAATCCAGTTGATATGATTCAGAGATGATTTGAAATTGTGGCCAGCTGCAGGAAATGGTTTTGATTTTAGTTTTCTTTCATTGCACAAACTGATGAACACCTTCTTTATGTTATCCTAAAATTTTCCAGCAATCAAAGGAATTGAATAATTTATGGAAGGCAAAGTAGATGATGTTTTGTTTTGGGTATCTTGTGAAATGTCAGCATAGCTATATACTCAGGTAGGAAGGGGGTGTTACTGCAAAGACTAAATGTAGAAAATTTACGTATTTCGACAGAGCCTTTGGTGAGATAAAATTTGAAGATATGTAATGGGGCAGGTTATAAATAATAAAAACAGTCCCCCAAATGGCCATATTTCATAAAACTGAATTTCATTAACTTTGCTTAGTTTTTAAGAAATTATCCTTTTTAGAACATCAAAATGCTACTATGTCCTTTGTGTAATTTATTTTTTCACTGCTGTATATTCCACCACAGTTTTTTTAATGTATTTGGGCAGCACACTAATTCAGCAAAACTCATTCTTCCCTTTAAAGAACACAGCTTTCTCGAAAATATATCTAGCAATATAAGGGGTTAAGGAATGTCTACCAGCCAGAATTCCTTATGTTCCAAAGTATATACCGTCTTACTACTTAAGATTTAAGATATGCCTAATTATGACTCCACCCAGACCTTCTATGTTGTAGGGACACAATAAATATGAGTAGACATGATTCAAAGTTTCTATAGCCTGATTTTTTGTTAAGATTTAGAAGTGAACTTAATTTATTTTAAATAAGTGTTAAATGAGAGAATTTGAGTGGAATAGACCAAGCTGAGTGACATCAAAGAACAAGAAGGAAATCATAACTGAATTCTCTTTAGAACAAATTAAATTAAAACCCCTAAACAACTATAATTGTTGAATGTGTCCTTTATTCCTCCCCCTCCACCCTAAATTCTAGCCTACAACTGCTTATAATTAATTAGCAGGGGGTACATAAAACAGGTACTGCAATTATTGTCTGGGTTCTATTGAGGATATTAAAAATCACTCAAAAAAATCACTCTCAAGTATAGATAAAAGAGACAACCCTCTAGAAATTAAATTATTAAAATCCTCAATATATTAGATGTTTTTAACACATATAAACCTTAATCATGAGGAGATACAAGAAAACAATAGTTAATAGTTAAGATGTGATAAAGTTTTAACCTTTAGGATATGTGGAAGGGATTAATTCTGATTTAGTCCAATATCCTAAAGTCTTATGAACTATCTAGTCTTATAACTCTTCCCTTCCCCTCCTTCCTTGCTCCCTTCAACTAATATTTTTTAGCTGCTCTGTGTTGGGCATCATATTAGGCACTAGGGAGGATAAAGTGATAAATCAAGGATGGAAAGCCAACATGGTTCACTAGGAAGCATAAGATTTAAGGGGTGATTTAAGGTCCAAATTCCAGTTGCTCCATTTCATATGAATGTAACTCTGAGCGATATACTCAATTTCTATGAACTTCAACTTTAATATTTGCAAAACATGGATAAGTTTTATATTTGAGGCCAAAGGAATTGGCAAACTGCAGATTACCTATATTGTAGGGTTGCAAATTTTTTTAAAAAAAGTTAAGGAGCCTGGCCTAACACCTAGTATTAAATAAATGACCTTTATGTAGTAATTATACTTATTTTGAAGGTGTTTATAGTTAAATGAAGATATAAATATATAGATATATCTGCATCTATAAGGGGGTATGGACAAGGATGGAAACAAGGCTTCTTTTTGTGGAAAGCATATAACAGAATTGTCACAGAAGAATGAGCTTGGTCATAAAGATTTGTGTGATTGGAGGCTTGGTGGATGAACAGGCATGCATACTGAGAAGTAAAAATCCAGAGAACATGTGGATGGGACAACTCTGAGAAAAATAACCAATTCATTTTAATTGGAGTGAAAAAGAATAGAATAAACAGGCAGAAGGTGGATTGAAAAGCCAGATCATAAGGGACACGGTATGCCAGGCCACTCAATTTGGAATTTATTCTGTATGCAATAGGGAATAGTTGAACATTTCAGGGCACTACAGTGACCTGAATCATCAGTCACTGACTGAATGGTTCACTAGTGTGAATTCTGCTGCATCAAGCCACAGAGAGGACTTCTTCATCTTAGACAAAGGCTGTGTCTTTTTTTTTTTTTTAAATTTTTGTTTGTTTTATTTATTTATGATAGGCACACAGTGAGAGAGAGAGAAGCAGAGACACAGGCAGAGGGAGAAGCAGGCTCCATGCACCGGGAGCCCGACGTGGGATTCGATCCCGGGTCTCCAGGATCGCGCCCTGGGCCAAAGGCAGGCGCCAAACCGCTGCGCCACCCAGGGATCCCCAAAGGCTGTGTCTTAAAGGAGCTTTCTGGGAATCCTTAGTTTGACAAAGTTCAATTAATTCAGTCCTAAAAGGATTCAAGATATGTAAATTATTTGGCTTTGAAAATTATTTATGTTTGGAATAGATGTGATTTTCCATTTATATTTTGAAGATCAAGCACCACAGATCCATGAACTAAAATGGTCAATTTTAAACTTTGTCTGAATGTCTAGATTCCAACAATATTATTGCCAGTATGACTGACTGAATTTCTGAGGTTATATAATTAATAAGGTTGGATTTCTTGTTCATCTCCTCTGGCCTCCCATGGTATTCCCAGTAGTACTGTAGTTCTTGCCATTGTTCACAAATGTGTGGAAATCCTTTCGGTCTGAGACCCATGCTTCTTTAATGGTAAAGAACTACTGTACCCAGCAGTAGTACTCATACAAACAGAGCACCACATACACACAAAAAATCAAACAGTGAAGATAACTTAAGGGACCTAGAGAACAACATTGAGTGAAATAATATTTAAGGGTCCAAGAGAAGAGAGAGAAAGGGACAGAAAACTTACTTGAAAAAATAATAGTTGAAAATTCCTGACCTTGATGAAGGGAATAGACCTGTGGGTCAAGGAAGCCTAGATCTTTCCAAAATAAGATATACCCAGAGAGATCTGCACCAAGACACATTATAATTAAAATGTCAAAAGTTAAAGAAAAAAAACCTTAAAGGCAGTGGGAAAAAAATAAAACAAACAAACAAACTCAAACTTGTTATGTACAGGGAACCTCCATAAGTATATCAGCAGATTTTTTGGGAGAAACTGCAGGCTAGAAGAAAGTGGCATGATGTAGTCAATGCTGAAAGCAAAAATCCCAACTAAGAATACAAGGTAGTAAAAATAATGGCCACAACAATTAGTTATGGGAAACACAAAATAAGAGATGTGAAATGTGACATCAAAAACATCAAACATGGCAGGGTATTAAAATTTAGAGTTTTAAAATGTGTGCAAACTTAATTTGCTAACAACTTAATATAGATTGGCATATATATGTATACATATACATGCCTCATGGTAACAACAACGCTAAAACCTGTAGTAAATACATAAAATTAAAGAAAAGCATCAAACCATAATGGAAAAGAGCAAGAGAAGACAAAAGGAAAAGAGAACTACAAAAACAGATAGAAAACAAAGTGGCAATAAGTACATACCTATCTATAATTACTTTAAATGCAAGTAAATTCTTCCATCAGAAGATACAGAGTGGCTGAATGGATTAAAAAAAAAAAAACAAAACAAGACACATCTACATGCTGCCTATAAGAGACTCACCTCGGTTTAAGGACACACACAGACTAAAAGTGAACGTACGAGAAAAGATGTTGAATGCAAATGGAAACCAAGAGAAAGCTGGGGTAGCTATACTAAAAGTCAGACAAAATAGACTTTAAAACAAAGACTAATAAAAGACAATGGGCATTACATAATGATAAAGAATTCAATCCAGCAAGACGATATAACCTTGTACTCATGCACTCAACTTAGAAACACATAAATGAATAAAGCATATGTTAACAGACCTAAAGGAGAAATTGATAATGGTACAATTACACTAGGGGACTATTACACATGCAGACAGAAAGTCAAACATTAGACTTAAAGAATTCATTAAGCCAGATGGATTTAATAGATATATCCAGAACATTCCACGTAACAGCAGAATATGCATTCTTTTAAAGGGCACATGGAACATTCTCTAGGATAGGTTATGTGTTAGTTACAAAACAAGTCTCAATAAGTTTAAGATGACTGAAATTATATCAAGCATATTTTTAGAACATAACCCATGTAACTGAAAACCAATGATAATAATAAACAATATGCTACTCAACAACCAGTGGGTCAACAAAGAAATCAAAGAATACAATACCTTGAGACAAATAAAAATGAAAATAAAGGACACTAACATCTATATGATACAGAAAATGCAGTTCACAGGGATACAGGCCTACCTCAGGAAATAAGAAAAATCTCAAACATTCTAACTTTACTAGAAAAACAGAAGCAAAGCCCAAAGTTAGCAGAAGGGAGGAAATAAAAGATCAGAGTGGAAATAAATGAATAGAGACTAAAAAGACGATAGTGAAACAAAAAGCTGGTTCTTTGAAAAACTAAACAAAGTGTATAAGCTTTAGCTAGACTAAGAATAAAAAGAGAAAATGTTCCAATAAATAAAATCAGAAATGAAAGATGTTATAACTAATACCAAAAAAATAAAGCATCATAAGAAAATACTATGAATAATTTATGCCAATATATTGGACAACCTAGAATAAATGAGTACATTCCTAGAAACATACAATATTCCAAGACAGAATCATGAAGAAATACAAAATGAATAGACTGATTACTAGCAAGGAAATTGAATCAGTAATCAAAAACCTCCCAACAAACAAAAGTCCAGGCAGGACCAGATGGCTTCACTAGTGAATTCTATCAAGCAATCAAAGAAGATTTACTACCAGTCCTTCTCAAACTCTTCCAAAAAATTGAAAAAGAAGAAACGCTTTCAATCTCCTGAGGCCAATATTACCCTGATACCAAATCTAGACAAGGATGCCACACAAAAAAAGGAAATTACAATATCCCTGATGAACACAGATGTAAAAATCCTCAACAAAATACTAGCAAACTCAATTTTCAACAATATATTAAAAAGATATTCCATGATCACATCTGATTTATTTCATGTATGCAAGGATAGTTCAACATCTGAAAATCAATCAATGTGACACACCATATTAACAAGATGAAGGATAAAAGTCATATAAGCACTTCAACAGATGCAACTAACACATCTGACAAAATTCAACATGACTTTATAATAAAAAAGTCTTAAAAAGGTGGTTACAGAGGGAATGTACCTCAAGATAATAAAGGCCATATATGCCAAGCCCACAGCTAACACTATACTCAGAGATGCAAAGGAAAAGCTTTTCCTCTAAGATCAAGTACAAGACAAAGATGCCCACTCTTGCCACTTTTCTTCAGTACAGTATTGGTAGTCCTACCTGAAGCAATTAGGCAAGAAAAGGAAATAAATGACATCCAAATTGGAAAGAAGTAAGTAAAACTGTCTTATTTGTAAAGAACATAATTTTATGGGTAAAAAGCCCTATGGACTCCTCTAAAAAAACTGCTATAACCAATAAATTCAGTCAAGTTGCAGGATACACATACAAATATCCTTTATGTTTTCATACACTAACAACAAACTATCAGAGAAATCAAGGAAACAGTTCCGATTATACCAAAAAAGAATAAAGCAGGAATAAATTTAACCAAGGAGGTGTAAGACTTACACACAGAAAACTACCGAATTTGGTGAGTGATAATGAAGAAGTCACAAATAAATAGAAAGATATGCTATGTTCACAGACTTGAAGAATATTGCTCAAATGTCATATTACCCAAATATAATATTACCCATATTATATAGATTTAATATAATCCATGTTAAAATAGCAATGGCATTTTTCACAGAAATAGAAAAATTCTAAAATGTACATGGAACCATGAAAAATCCTAAATAACCAAGCTATCTGGAATAAGAAGAACAAAGCTGGAGCCATCATGCTCCCTGATTTCAAACTCTTATCACAGAGTTATAGTAATCAAAGCAGTATAGTATTGGCATAAAAACAGATATTTTGAATAATGGAACAGAATAAAGAGCCCAGAAATAAACCTATGCATATATGATCGATAAATTTATAACAAAGGAGGCACATCAAAACCACAATGAGATATTTCACACCTTTGGAAATGTCTATTACCAAAAAGACAAAAAATAAAAAGTGTTGACAATGATGTGGAGGAAAAGGAACCCTTGTGTACTGGTGCAGCCACTATGGAAAACAGTATGGAGGTTACTAAACTAAAAATAGAACTATCATATGATCCAGCAATTCCACTTCTGGGTATTTAAAGAAAATGAAAATACTGGTTTGAAAAGGCATATGCACCCTTATGTTCATTGCAGCATTATTTATGTGGCCAAGATATGGAAATAATAAAATGGATAAAGAAGATGTGGTTTATAGATATACAATGGGATACTACTCAGTCATAAAAAATAATGAAATTTTGCCCTTTTTGTGACAACATGTATAGACTAGAGGTTATTATGCTTATTATGAAATAAGTAAGACAAACACCATATGATTTCACTTATATGTAGGATATAAAAAACAAATGAAAAAACAAAACAAAACTCATAAGTGTAAAGAATACATTGCTGGTTGCCAGCAGGGAGGGGGTTTTGGAGGAAGGTGAAATGGGAAAAGGAGGTCAAAATATACACACTTCAAAGACAAATAAATCATGGGGATGTAATATATAGAATGAGATTATAGTTAACAATATTGTATATTACATCATTTTATATGCTGGCAGGAGGAAACTAGATTAACTAAGTGATCATTTTGCAGTATATACAAATATTAAACCATTACTAATATGTTATGTTAATTGTATCACAATAAAAGAATTACAAACTCAATATAAGTCAACATGGATGAAGCTTCTAAAGATGCTAATTTGGCCTTAGGGTATATACATAGAAATGGGATGTTAGCTGAATATGAGAATTCAAGGCCACCTGGACCATATGAAGGCCACCAGGGCATTTCCCATAGCTCAGGGTTCCAGGCCAGTCTAGCTGTCACTTCTGGGTAAGTCCCTTTCTTCCTCCCTCCCTCCATTCTTTTCTTTTCCTCCTTCCTTTTTTTTCTTCCTTTCCTCTCTTCTTTCTTTCCTTCCTTCTTCTAACCTACAATACTGGAGACAAGGGAATGAGAATTTGTTTATTCTATATTCTAAAAGAGTGAAGATTTGGAGAAGCTCCTTGGGGGGAAGGAATCTTGATGGAGAATAGTTTGTGAGACACATTCAAAGTAAAAGAATTCTTTCAACAGTGCCTTTTCTTTGTAGTGTGATTTAGATGTTGTCCTGCCTGGAAGCAGGGAAAGGGACTAAATGGTCTTTTGGGTTCCCTTTGATTCCCAAAATTCTACATAATTACCATCATTTGCAGTGCTAGGCAGGTGTTGTGAGTTAGTAGCCAGAAAAAAAGGAAAAGACTTTGAGATTTTTGTTTTGAAAATGTCTTTCTCCATCCAATTATGCGATTTTTCATTAGCAATGTGCCACACAAATTATGACTGAATTAAGGATAATGAACTCACTCACATGTTCATTATTAATCAAAACTGAATAAGGAACTCTTTTTTTTCCTGTTCTCAGATATTTAGGACAATAGTCAAGCAGCAGTGACAGCTCTATCCTTCCCACTCCTAACCTCCCAAATGATAAATATTTATAAATCTTTTCTAGAATAGGCGTGCTGCTGCAGAGATGTGGAGTAATTAGTAGGCTATTTTGGTTGTCAGGAAACTGAGATACAGATATTTGTGCCATTAATGATTTAATACCCAGACCATACAACAAGGGGAAATTACAATCATATTATAGCAGTCAGCCAGCTGTATCTGTTGCATAAGCCTTTCAGATTTGTAAACATAACCCTCTCTCTCTCTCTCTCTCTCTGTCTCTCTCTCTCTTTCTTTAGCAAATGAAGTTTCTTCCATTTATTTCAATGTTAGCTTTCAGTATTCCAAAATGAGTAGCTAATGTGTTTAGGTCTAATCTCAATGGTGCAATTCTCATTTGCCTGGCAAACTAAAAATTGATGGCTCAATATCAGGAGCAGATAAGAAAGAACCACTCACTACATTCAAGGGTCTTCTATATGCCCACTATTGTGTTGATGATACCAAGTAATGCATGATTCTTGCAATAAGGAGGAAAATAGGTTGATATACACGTGAATTATTTATGGACCATTTAAGAGTTAAGGTCTCTTGTATTTCTTATAATCTTCATTTACCAAACACGATTAAGGGATGCCTGAGTGGCTCAGCAGGCTAAGCATTTGTCTTCAGTTCAGGTCATGATCTCGAGGTCCTGGGATCGAGCACCATGTTGGGCTTCCTGTGGGGAGTCTGCTTCTCCCTCTCCCTCTGTCCCTCTCCCCCCTCCCCACTTGTGCTGTTTCACTCAAATAAATATATAAAAAATTTTTTCAAAAAGCCAAACATAGACTGAACTATCAGAAACATTCAATAAGCCAAGAACAGGTATGTACTGATAAATTACCATGACCAGCCTTGTACTAGTACTGAGAAGAATACAGGAGAAACAAAGGTACATAAATTCTGTTCATGTACTAGTACTGAGAGGAATACAGGAGAAACAAAGGTACATAAGTTCTTGTTCATGTACTAGTACTGAGAGGAATACAGGAGAAACAAAAGTACATAAATTCTTGTTCATGATAAACTGATGTTACTAATTAGGAAGCTAGGACTTAGACCCACAACACACATACCCAAGGCTCACTAGAGTTGGTGATCAAACACCAACACAAACACATGTCTCTTAGAGTGATATATATATGCCAGAATATCAGATGTTAGGAGGAGGGGAAGGACTGCAAAGGTATAAGGCAAAGCAGGAGTACCATATTTGGAGTGAGGAACAGTGGAGTCAGATGGTAGTCCAGCTCTATCTCTCATAGTTGAGTCTCAGCTTCTTAAACTCTCACATGCCCTTCCTGCTTTGGAAAGTGTTAAAAGTGTTATGAGAATAAAGAAAGCATTTACTCCTTTCTATTTTCTTTGTTCAATGTAGGAAAAATTGAGGGTTAGAAACCTGAGCTGGGTAACTTGTCCATGATCAGATAGTTCTTGGTTGAGCTTTGTACTCAAATAATCATGGAGCCTTCTCTGAAGCTATGACTGTGCCATGTCCACGGTAACTGCAAAATACCATTTGATGAATTCCTATGCTACGACTGTAGTAGTATGAATGAATGAGAAGAAAATAGTCTAACCAAATATCAATGCTTTCAATGTTGATGTGTTTCTCAAAACTCTTGTTATAGAACAAGTGAATCCTGAATTTCCTGGAGCCAAAACTTAACATTTTGGTTTCATGTAACAAAGTGAAACCAAGTATATATTCATATATGTATATGAATATAATGTATCTATATACATATATACACATACACATAATATAAAGAAATATGTAATTATATTTTTGACCTTAAAATGTCAGACATTCAAATTAAAATGTAAAAATTTAGTCAACTATTTGGGTGTTTGAATGATCATTTTAATGATGATAAAAGGGCCACATGAACCTAACACATTTTTGTTATATAACTAATTCCAATTAAAGCTTATAACTGATAATACATTTAAATACGAATAAAACTGCTTAAAGAGTCTATCATTCCTAGTTTGTTTCTTAGTATATTCCAAAATATATTGTGGAGCATTATTTTTTTTTCTATGTATGCCACTTCTGTGTTCACAAGACAATGAAAAGCTCCTGGAGGGCAAGGATAATGGCTGACAGGATATATCATTAGTGTGGTGCCAGGCACTGATGGAAGTAACACATACTCACCATACTACTTGTATTTGGTATATCCCGAAATCTGTCCAAAGTTTGAAACTTCTGATTCAGCTCCTGAAACAGTTCCATATGCCTCTTCCTTGTATGCATGACCTTCTGCAAAAGAAAATAGAAAGTCTCTCATTTCTAATTTGATTTACACATTTTAAGAAGAGACTTAATATTTTTGCTTTAACTAATAAGGAATGTAAGTTTGGCAGGAACCAGGAAGTCCCCAAAGACACCACAAATGCAAATAAGCTGCATCTAATCTTTGTTTCATAGTCAGCACTTCTTGAGCATGAAGAATTGGCTTTATTTCCACTTACAAGATTACCAAAATATAGTTTTCTCTTGTGGGTGCATTAAAAATGTAGCAGTCATTCCTGTGTAAGATTTTCATCATTCAAAGTTAAAGCTGTTTTACAAAAATTGTTGTAATATAAAAAAATGTTTAAAAATTTGGACTTGTAAAGCACCCAAGTCTCTCAATGTTTGTCATGGGAAATATTACTTTTTTTATGTTTTATTTCCATAAACACTAAAATCCTAGCTGGCTGTACTAAAGGGGGAACAAAATCCCAGTCACTGCCATTTAAGGCTGACTCAAAGCACTAAAGTGTCTGAAATATATGTGAGTTCTAAAATCTTAGAGTTTCCATGAATAATGATGGAGCTTTGCAGAAGGAAAATCTGACCCATAAGTTTCATTTATTTATTTTCAAGATGATACAGAATCTTACAAATTAGGCCTCAAAGCAAAAATTGTGTGGTTGATGAGCTTCTCAAATCACTGATACAAATATATTAATCCTCTTTCTTTTCTAAATATATTAATACTCTTCATCCTTGGTTACATCCTTTTCTCCCAACTTCATCATAATTCAACAAATAGAGTCCTAAATAAAAATGACCTCAGGGTAAATATCATGGACTGAATCTTTTTCTGTTACAGAGTATTTAACAGAGAAGATAAATTCCCTGTATTTACAAGTGTTATTTTAAAGGAGAAAATACCTTCCTAGATTTTAATTTTCTAAAAGTTAAAAATCGATATTTCAGTGATTTTTCAAGATTATGCCTCTATGTTTGTGCAAGATTCTATAGTATTTTAAAGCATGTGCTTCATAACTCAGCATTTGCTCATGTGGGCTTCATGGGTATATTATACTCATGCCTAAGCTATGATTTGAACATTTGGTCTATTGTTTTAATTACCAAGTATTTTCAAAAGTAAGGATTTGTTTTGGAAAAGAAATATATCTTTGGGGGAAGATCTATAATGCCTAATTTTCTTCTAAAAAGACACAGAGAACACAATCTTGAGGGGGGAAAAAAAGCAAGAGAGAAATGCAAATTAAATCTTTAACATATTTTAAAAAGTCTTATTCTCTGTTATGCCAAATTTAATTTCCTATATTTAATGAATCTCTGTGTTTAGGCAATACTTTGTTTAGCTAGTTTCTTCTGTTTTCATTAGCCTACTTTTATGAGAGAATTCTGACATTTTAAATCTTGTTCTTTTGCTCCTCTTAGTTGGCTGTTAACGAATCAGGTGCTTGAGGATGAGAACATGGCAACATTACTCATGATGAGGACATGAAACATAGCAAGCAATTACAGAGCGATTAACTCCCCATCAGTTTTGGGGAGAGTACAGGAAATAGATTTGCAGGATTTACAGAGAAACACCAGGCAAACATAATTTGACTAGCAATGGCTGATGGAGATTTATGAGAGGGAGGATTTGCATAAGCAACTCAGTGGAGGGATTTTGAGGACCACATAGCTGGCAAACATAATGAAATACATTTTATCCCTGGGGACGCAAATATTCCCATGTAGTACCAGGGCCTAAGACACTGATTAAAATACCGATTTGTGCTGTAAAAAATACCTTTTTAAAAAAACTATAGTCATCAGAATATGAACTCTGGCTCTAACTTTCAGATAATGTTTTTCATAATAATGAATCTTACCATGTAGTTAATTTTTTGCTAGGGTAGTAGGACTAAAGTCTTGCTACTGACATTTCTCTAAATATACTTCATTCTGTCAGTTAATACATATTCATGAGCATCACATATTGTACTAGATACTGAAGTAACAGGGATCCAGGTGCAAAATCCAGTAGAGTTTCCCCCCTCTTCTAGCTCAAGGTAGAATGGAGGGTATAGGCATTAATCACCTAAGAACACAAGTACATGTTATTTTAGAACTGAGATAAGTAAAACAAATGGTAAGGCTAATAAGAGTAAGTGATATGGGAATTCACTAAGATAAATGCAAATAGGGCAGATTCCCAAATTTTTACACACTTATTTTGAAGTTGAAAATTTTCAAATCAATTATTCCTCATCTTGTTTATTCTCTTTTCCATTTCCAAAATTCAGAGAATATCTGGTATAATTTTTATTTTTAAAATTTTTTAAAAGAGTGTATTTATTTATTCATGAGAGAAACAGAGAGAGAGAGGCAGAGACACAGGCAGGGAGAGAAGCAGGCTCCATGCAGGGAGCCCAATGGGGGACTCGATCCCCGGACTCCAGGATCACGCCCTGGGCTGAAAGCAGGTGCTAAACCACTGAGCCACCCAGGGATCCCCATCTGATAGAATTTTTAGTCACGTGCCCTTTCTTCAATGGGATTGTTCCTTTCCAAAGACAAGAAGCACATATACTCTTGTAAAGTAGTTGATGTTATTGGCACAGCTTCCTCATTTTAAGGTGTGCATGTGATGATTTTGTCTGTGTAGTCTCCATTTATCTTTCATCCTATGATAGGGTCCTGATTTTGCCTTGGGGGAGTTAGCCTTCCCACTTGATGGAAATGTCAATGGAGGTCCCTACTGTCTAGTGGCGGAAAGGTCAGTTTTTCCATATCCTTCCAACAAGGTTCTCTTCTGGTTGGTACTCAGTCACTCTCTGTCTCTTGCAACCAAATGTTTCTATTGAATAAAGCATGTTTAATGAAGCAAAGTGTTAAATCTATCCCACAACGAGGATATGTTAAATGATTATAGTTTTTACAATCATATTCTGATTGAATAGGTAGCAGCTGATTCTGAACTGAGTGGATTTTATTTTGAGGAGCTACAGTATTAAAATATACTCAGAAATATATATGGTGGACACAAATGTTATATAACCCAAAAACATTTTGCAACGTTCTACATAGGTTCATGAAAGCTACTCTGAATACTAAAGCTCATGGATGCTGTAAGGAAGATGGAAAGAAATTAAAATTTGGATGCTGAAATCTGGGGCCCTTCCTACATAGAAACATTACTTGCAAAAACATGCCAGATAGTCATTCTAATTTGAAATTATCACCTTGGCACAGCCAGAAATCACCATAGCAATGATGGCCTGGTGGTTCCAACAGAAGTACCACACTAGACCTGCCAATCAATAGCTTGCCTATCTGTCATGGGGTCAGTTTGATTTTCCATGCACGATTCCTTTCTGTTCACAGACTTAAGTACACCTTTCAGCTTTTTCAGTCAGGGAAGCTTCCATTGACATGGCAGCCAGAATCACAGTGAATACTGGAGAGTTTCCAACCCAGAAAAGTTTTGGGATAAAAATGTGGCTGGGTTTTAGTTTTCAAAAATAATAAGAGTTTCCCCTTATCTATTTGCTTCTCTAATTTTTATTTGTATTACTCATGCCTTTGATGGTTTTAACCACCTAATTCAAAGTTTTTGTGCTTCTAAATCTTACTGGTCCATTTTAAAATGGCTTTTTTTGGATTTTACTCACCTTACGGTTTCATCTGTTTACTTTTTTCTTTTGTGGCTGAAACATCTTGTGTCCGAAACAAATTGACTTCTGTGAAAAATTCAATTTTCTAAAACCTTGTGAAGATGATAAAACTATAACTCAAGTAGATTTTCTTCTTAAATAAGCAAATATATTCTAATTGCCACTATATATAAAATTCAGGTTGCTTGAGTTATAACTCTTGTCAAGTAACATAGGCATCTTTTGCAATAAAGAGAAATGCTCAGTAATGTTCCTTTCAGTCAGGTTATTATGACATCATTCTTTGAAGCTGCATATGAACCCTATCCTGAGAGGACCAGCAACCTAGCTACACAAAAATATCTCCTGATATAGCTTATTTCATAAAACTCTTATCTGTCATTTTATGTCTTTGTAACTCAAGAGAGGCTGTGTTTGCAGTCTTTTAATTGTTGATATGAAAGAAAAAGTGTTAGGTTGTGTAGTACTTTCATGAAATTTCAGATATTTGAGAAAAAAATCAGGATGTGAACAACCTGTATGTTTTGAGCACCTACTCTATCTCAGGCACTCTTTTAAATACTTGGGACATGTCAAATCTAACAGTTCTAGATCTGGAAAAACTTGGAATTTAGATTTTAGTTCCATCACTTTCAAATTGTATAGTCAGAAGCATAAAATGTAATCTCCCTGTAGCTCTAGTTTTAGCAGTCAGAATAACCTTACAGGGTTGTTCTGAAGATTTAAAAGGGATACATCACCTGTCACTAGAGGACATACGTAAGAGCCACTTAAGAAATGGTAGGCATTATTATCTTTCTCATACCTCACAATAACCCAGAGAGGTAGGAGTCATCATCTCACTTTGCTGACGAGGAAACTGAAGCTCAGGAGGCTAAGTAAAGGTCCCAAGCTCCCATCAGTGGTGAGACAGCTAGAATACACTCTGAATCCAAAGACAATTCTCTTTGCATGCTGCTATCTTAGATACATCCTATATTCAGGGAGCACCCTCCTATAGATTATTCAAGTTTATGACTTATTTAGATGGAAAAGTGAGTGAAAGAAACACTCTTGTTTCTTGTTACAGGTGCCTTCTGTAGCCAAGCCCATAAACTGGATATTGATCACCCTAAAACTATCCCATGGTACTGCAACTATCTTTGGAAGGGCTGTCTCCATGTCTTGTCTCTGAACACCTTGTGGACAGTGACTTCTCTTTGTATCCCTGACACACAGCGTTTGATATTTAGTAGGTGCTCAATTAATGTGCTCAATTAATAAATGAATTAGATGGCATATGTATACAGGCCATGGAAGGTGCCTGCAACAAGGAAGGCTGGCTATCTTAAGTCTTATCTTCTCTCCTATTTA